CACAAACAGCCCCACTGTGGGGAGGAGTTTTTAATTTTCTATTTATTTTCCCTAACCCTTAATGGAAATTTAGTATTACCTTCAGTTATAAATGAGGACTAGACTATGGAGATGTTAGGCCATGTCCGACTCCACCACCAGTAGATACCACAGGTCCCTTTATATCGCTTTACTCTTGTTGCAAATATCTGAAAGATTTTTAGACTCACCTCTTGAAATAATGACAATTTGTAGACTGCCACTGAATTTTGTCCTTTAGTGTGTTAATAACAAAGCGCATCTATTACTTTACTGAAAATTATAAAATATTTTAATAATTACATTTCACTAAAATTGCTTCCCTTTGGAATCTTACATAATTTACTTAAAAAAATTTTTTTTATTTTGTGACATGGACAGGTTTTATTGGGTGCTAATACCCCACAGCCACAAAAGGTAAAAGACCCCTGCTCCAAAGGAGAACTTGTTAGCATGGATGAATTTCATCTTTGGGAAAGAATTTCAGCTGTGTGGAAAAGTGACAATTTTCAATAATGTAGAGAAGGTAGTTTTGAGCATTTTTCAAGATTTTCAGGAGCTAGAAGAAATCTTGGAGATACACTACTTTATTTGCTTTTAAATCAACTTTATTCAGCCATTATGTATATGTATATAATAGCATGCATCTATTTTAAATGTTCAGTTGGATAAACTCTAACAAATCTATCAGACTTGTGTAATCAACAGTACAATTAAAGTATACAATATTTTGATCATTCAAATATTGCTCTGTTGCTCTTTATAATCTCTGTCACTATGCCAAATCCAAATAATCATTGGTTCAACTTTTCATCACTATAGGTTAGATTTGTTTTATTAGCACACATCTGCAGTACACAATGTTTGCATTCTTTGTGTGGATTTGGTACATGTACATAACACATCTTAATTCCTTTTTTCATCCTTCTTTCCCTTCCCTCCCTCCCTCCTCCTTCCATCTCTCGAACCCCTTTGCGTTTGAGAAAGATCTATCGGCCTACTTCTTATTACCTATCTTTTATTTTGCTCTTTATTTATAACGGGTTTTTTATATAAGAGAAACTGTGTGATACATAAGCTTGTGTGTCTGATTTATTTCACTTTACATTATGATTTCAAGGTGCATCCATTTTCCTACAAATGACTCCAGTTTATCATTCTTTATGACAGAGAAGTACTCCATGGTGTGTAAACACTGTGTTTTCTTTATCCATTCATCTGTGGAGGAACATATAGGCTGGTTTCAAGGTTTAGCTATTATGAATTGTGCCGCTATAAACATGGGTATGACTGTATCACTTTAATATGATGTTTTTAACTCTGTTTTGAACATTACATGTAAGTGGAATAAAAGAAAATGTGCCCTGAATGTATTTTACCCCTGGATGGATTGATTTAGTTGTTTCCAGCTTTTGGCTATTTCAGCTAAAGCTAGTATCACATAAAGCAGGTGTAGTCCTTTCTGTAGACCCGCTTTCCTTTCTTCTGGGAGAAAGCTTAGGAGTAGGATCTTCAGATCATAAGGAAAGTGTATGTTTACCTTCACAAGAAACTGCTGAGTTGTTTTTCAAACTAGTTGTATTGTTTTGCCTTCCCACCAACAATGTTTGGGAGTTTTTAAAAATTAATTTTATTGGTACATTTAAGGTTTACAATATGTCATTCATCATTGGAAATTTGCACCTTTACATAATTCATCTTGGTTCTTATTTTTTCTCCCTTCCCCTGCCCTCACTTCAACCCCTCCACACTTCCCTATCTGCAAAGACTTTGTTTCCATTTTTTCTTTTTCTCCTATTAATTCCATTCCCTTCTTTCCTTCCCCCTACCCCTCCCACTTCCCCCTCCCCTTTGCCCCTTTTCTTCCTATTTCACATTATCTATTATACCTTTTAGTCCTTATTTACACTTTCAGTTTCTCACACTAGAGAAACTATTAGATATTTACACTTGTGTGTCCTATTTATTTCACTTAAGAGGGAATTTTGATTGCCTTATTTTCTCCCCAACATTTGGTATTGGCAATCTTCATTTGAGTTGTTCCAATGCTGTGTATTATATCTCATTGTAATTTTAATTTTCACTTGTTCCAGTGGCTCATGATATTGAGACCTTGTTACTATTGAGATGCTTGTTGGCTATTTGTGTATATTCTTTTGGAAATGTCTAAATCTTTGCCCCTTTTTGTTGGCCTATTTGTCTTACGAATGTGGATACAATTCTTTTGCCAGGCACATGAATTGCAACTATTTTCCCCATTCTTCAGCTTATTTTCTCATTTTCTTAACGATGTTACAAGAGCAGAAGTTTTTAACTGTGATGAAGTTCAATTTATCAATTTTTAAATTTTATGGTCATGTTTTTTTGCATGCTATCGACATATTTTGCATGCCTTAAAGTTGCAAAGATTTTCATCAGTGTTTTCTACTCAGAGATTTATATTTTAGATCATTGTATTTAAATTTGAAGGCATTTTAAGTGAAGCTTAGTGCATGGGATAGGGGATAGTTCTAAATTTATTTACTTATTTTTTTCCCTATGGGTATCCAGCTATTCCAGTGCCATTTGATGAAAGACATATCTTTCTCTTCTGAGTTGTGTTAACACCTTTGTGGGATCAACTGACCATATGTGTGTCAGTCTATCTCTGGACTCTATTTTTTATATTTATTTCTTTGTCTAAATTTACATCTCACCTTTACTTTTAAAGCTGAATAACTGGGGATGAGAGAGTGGAAAGGTTTGTATGAGATCAAACCAAATAAGTTAGAAGCCCGGTTTGAATGTGACCCTTGTACATATGTAATATCTTAAAACTCTTGAAAGTCAGCAAAAAGGAAATACAGCAGCCCTTCCCTTATCCTTGGGAGATCTGTCCCCATACCCTTCAGTGAATACCTAAAACCCTGGCTATTACTGAACCCTATAAGTCAATTTTTTTCATCTTAACTAAGCACTTAATGCTCTTGGGGGCCATAACTTTTGCTGGTCTGAGGTGTGACACCAAAAGTAGCATAAATTTCTTTTTCCTTCTTCACAATTTCATGGATAGAAGATTATTCATTAATACTGTGAGGTTATTAAATCTTAGTAACTTCAGCATGTGATTTTTTTCTTTCCTTAAGTCAAGAGTTTTGATCTTATCACTTAATGGAAGCACTTCAGATCTGTTTTTTGACATATCCAAATTGCCAGCATTACTACCCTTGTGCTTTGGGGCCATTATTAGGTAAAAGAAGTGTGGCTTGAACATAAAAACTGCAATACCACGACAGTCATCTGATAACTGAGGAGACTGAGGAGGACCTACATGAGCAGATAGTGTTGATAGCATGGGCAAACTGCATGCAAAGGGTTGGTGCACTTTCTGGGTGGGGTGGGATGGGTAATATGAGATTTCATCACTCAGAATAGTGTGCTATTTAGAAGTTATGAATCATTTATCTCTTGGACTCTTGATTTAATTTTTTGGATCATGTTTGTCTGGGAGTAACAGAAGCTCTGGAAAGCAAAACTGAGGATAAAGAGGGATAACTGTAAAAAATAGTTGTATCAATATTGATGCTGCGGACAATACATCCAAAGGAGCCTGCCCCTCCGCTGGGAAGATCCCTGAAGAAAGAAGAGACAAGTAGTGTCAGAGAGATTATGCTGGCTCTTCATACAGCAGCTTTGACACCCTGCACAAGATGCTCCATCCCTGTAACTTCCCCAACTCAGCTACCATTAGGAATAACGCCACTGTCATAGGAGCACTGGGTGGGGTGGGGTGGGGTAACTAAGATGATGCTTTTGAAGTGTGTACTGCAGCATTTGAGACATGGCAGTTGCTTAGGGGTCTGCAGCTGTCCACACCCCTCTCAGCATAAGGACCCTCACCCCTGGAGCTGACCCCTGAGCTGGTGGTAAAGGCAGCCCCTGTTGACCAGCATATCCCACTCCCAAGCACAGCACCTTTTCTGCTTCCTTATTCCAGGACTGGCTGCATTGCTCCCGGGCAGGTGCCAGGGCCATCCAATCCCAGATAGGGAGGAGGAATCAGTGCTATAGAAAGATAAATGTGCCCACAGGTACAGCCAGAAAGTGATAAATCTCATATTTGAACCATACAATAGTAGTGATTTTTTGAAAGGACAAGGGAAGAGATCTTCCCTTCTTGAGTTTTAATATTTAATATTGGAAGTAATTTCTTTCTTTATACCTCAGATTTTCCAACTGTAAATACAGGGCCCCTTCCTGAATCATCTCTAAGTTCTGGAAGCACTTCCTGGTCTTGGTGAAAGTAGGAATTTTGCATCATTCATGCATGGGTTCAAGTCCAGCACTCCTTTACAAGCTCTGTGGTCCTGGGAAAATCATTTCACCTCTCTGAGCTCAGTCCCTTCTGCTATGAAAGGAGAGACATCCTCATGCTTAGAGCCTTCAATGACAAACTAGCTGAGGCCCTTGCACAGTGCTATGTTCATGGCAAGAAATCCACAAATATGTGACTCCTTCCCTTTTCAAGCCTCTCCTACTTGGTTTCTGAGATCTGAGCAGTGTATGAGGTATCTGGCAATGCCTAAAGAATCAGGCCAAAGTGGTAGAAGTTGCATGGTGCTATGGGTTGAAAGTGTCCCCCAAAAAAGCATGTGATGGAAACTTAATCTCCAATACAACAGCGTTGGGAAGTGAGGCCTAATGGGAGGTGTTTAGAATGTGAGGGTTCCCATCTAATGGATGCATTAACAACAATTATAAAAAGGGCTTGAAGCTTCAAGTTCAAAGTTCAGTCTAGTGTTTGTTTGCACGTGCACTCTCTCTCCCTCTTTCCATGTGATTCCTTCTTCCATGTTATGATACAACAATAAGGGCTTTACTAAAACAAGGCCACTTGAACTTGGACTCCTCAGCTTCCAGAACGATAAGAAATAAACCTACTTTTTTATATAAATTTCCCTATCTCAGGTATTCTGTTATAGCAGCACTGAATGGACTAAGACACTTTATAGTTGAAGAGGTTGGGGGATATGCCTCTCTCTGGGCAGGTGTGTTTTGGGGTGGGGGTGGATGCTCTAGATTTGGGAAAATTAAGAGCTGGTTCCATAGTGTGAATATCTACTGCACAGAAGGCTGTGTGAGGCTAGCAGCACCTGGGGCAGTGGATGTGGGAGACCAAGAAGGGTACGATACAGAAAGGTAGAAGAGAAATGAAATATAAACTTTGGTGGCACCGTGAAATTATGGAAAGCCAACATTTCTATTAATTAACCTATAAATAAAAATGTGTTCATACCAGATCAGCAAAGGGTGGGTATTTTATAACAGGAGTCTTTATTGGACAGGATCACAATATATATTTTCCCCCTGAATTCACCAGCAATTCTATCATAAAAATATATTACAACATTTGATATGTATTCACAAAGCACAAGCCATTGTAAACAGAGCAGGCAGCACTGGCCTTGGATTCAAAAATCTTGAGTCCTACTTCAAAAGAAAACAGCTGTTGGCAAGTATATCACATGAATGGTGCATATTCCCACATCGGAAGAGCATCTGGTAACATTTTTTTTTTTTTTTTGGTACTGGGGATCAAACTCAGGACCTTGGGATTGCGAGGCAGGCAGCAGAACCACTGAACTAAATCCCCGGCCCCTTCTGGTAACATTTAAAAAAAATAAGTGGAGCCTCACTCCTGTTTCATAAATTAGAAGAAAGTTAGGTTAAAGCTATAATGTCAAGAAATGATAAGAAGGTGCTAAACTTTTGCTTCATTTGTTTCATACTCAGTGTGCAGCTGTTTGTGTTTATGAACATTCATCCATATGTGTACACTCATGGGCACATAGAGTTATGGGCACACAGGTTTATGGGCGTGCACATTTATGGGTGCATTTGCTCCAACACAAACACACAGATGTCCCACCCATCTTTCCATGAATCTGATATTAAGGAATCACAACACTGTGCAGAAGCCAATCATTTGCAGATCACTCTGTCCCCAGGAGTGAATTTTTAAAAATTTTCTAAATCCTGGTTTCCAAAAGTATTCTTGGAATGTGCAGAGTACATTTCCTGTGGAATACTAAACTAGCTGGCACACACATTAGATTTTCTTAATGTGGACTCCCTTTTGTTGTCTACTGGGCAGTTTGGATACGCCAAGCAACAAATGATGTGTGTCCTCCTACCTCACTTTCTACAGCCACCAAAAAATAAGTTTATGAAAACACAAGGTCTGCAAAGCATTGGACTTAGATGCTCTCAGGACTTGGAGATGCCAGGAGCTCTAAGGGTAGCATTTAAGCAATTCTCCTTTCATTTACAGGAAGTGATGGTTCTTGCATTGGACACTGGACAGAGCAGAGCCTCCCAATTTCCTCCAGTGGAGAAAATTCACAGCTGATCTTGTCTGCTGTCATCCATTGGCCATGGCAGAGGGAGAGATTTACCTTCTGCCAGGAGCTTCCTCATCAGAATGAGAATGCATATCCAGATGGAAGGATTAAGAGTCCTTCTCCCAGATGAGCCTAAGAAAATGAAGACTGGGCTATTCCAATGCCTAGAAAAACCATGCCAGGTGGTAATGAGGGTAAGGCAAAGCACCTTTTTGATTTGTCACTGGACTTCCACAGCTGTCTGTGGCTTAGAGCAATCCAGGTTTTCCCTGGGGAGATCCTGATAGGGTTAGTAAGATACCAGTCCCTATAAATATCCCTGCACTCCAGAAGAGGCTGTATTTACACATTTATTGTAAAACTGGATTCTTGAGGTTTGGAATGATTTCCATTTGCAAGGAAACTTGGCATTTGAAGTTTGAGCGGAGAGGGAGGAATTGGTTATTCTTAATTAAAGCAAAGATTTTGTAACCAATGGTAGACAGAGCCTTTAAAAAAGGGGCTGGATGTTGGATATTTTAGCTATGCCTAAGCAATCACTACGATCTGGTCCTCTTGAAACTAAACATCATAGTCTTTCAGTCAAGCATCCTTGGGATGACATTTGATGCTCCCCTATCCCAAACCCATTCCCTTAGGATGGAAAGAGGTGTGACTGAGATCTGGGCCCTGATGTTGATACTCTGAACCTCACAATTCACAACAGACTTCCTGTCTTCAAATACAGATTTTATTTTAGGCTCTTTGAGACCATCAAATCACTGGCTCTGAGTTTTATTAAGCTCATGCACAATTTCTGTGCCAGGGAATAAGTATAACACCAATTACACAGTCATTGGGTGTGTGTGAGAGGACACAGGAAATACCACACATTGGTGTTCCTAAGAGTACATGCATGCCCATAGGGCACACACAAACTTTCAAGTCAAAAACCTAATTTAGTTTGAAAGTCCTTAAGTATGGGTGTACACGATAAACTAGAGCACTGCTAAGAGTAATTAGATTTGTATTTGACCTTTAAATGCTAGGTACATATTTACATGACACATTGTACTAGTGAGCTGTGCACCACCTACAAGAGGTATGGGTGCTGAACTGCGAAGTAGCATGGGGACTTTTGCAACATGCTTGTCTCTGCGGTGTGACCTCTTCCATTGGTCCAGAGTGGTAGGCGGCAGTGCTCCTTCAGCTCCCCCATGGTACTAAATACGTAATACTCCCCTACCAAAGGCCTATATTTAGCCCCCACTCAGAATGCTGCCAGGGGATATGCCCTGGATGGACATGGTTGGTTTCTTATGCATAAATCATGCTTTTAAGGATGAATGTCAGTGTCCCTCAAAATGAATGCAATCCCTTTTGCCCCTCTCTTCTTCCTTCCTTCCTTCCTTTTTTCCTTCCTTCTTCCTCCTCTTTTGGGGTAGCTAAATAAATATAGACCTATTCCATAGCTCCTCTTTCTAATTTTGACAGTCCCAACTTCAAGACTTCCATCTTCTCCTGCTGGTGACAGATGCTGTGGGCTCTGTCCTGGTTGTGGAGCCTCCACACCACTCCCTGGACTCCACTACAGGATGCACACCAAGCTGCCACCTCACTGAACCCCTCACTGGGCAGGGTCACCTCTCTGTGCCCTGCCACGTGTTGCTCCCTCCTGTTAGTCCAGCCCAAACCTCACTGCCTCTGGGAAGCCTTCCAAAACCCTCCTCCCCCCGTCAGTCAAGTTCTGTAGCCCTGACCACACACCCCAGGATATGTAGCCCGTCCCCCAACCATATAGTCATTGCTCTTCTCCCCCTAGGCCTGGCACAGCACCCACAGAACTAAGGAGTGAGGGGGGAGGATGTGCATAGCTCTGGGTCTTGCTTCTCTGCTTGCCATGCCAGAACTCGGTTCTCTCCACCAGCAGCAGGTCACAGCCTCTACACAGGGATGTGTAATCAGGCCAAATAAAACCATATACATCTGAGCTGTTCCCTATTCCCGTGAAGATTCCCTGGGAAGTTGGACCAATCCATTCTTTGGAACCTATAATTCTCCCCTCCCAGGTAGTTGACCCCCAAAAGTGTCCTTTTGCTTCTCTAGTCCTTAAGGAAGGAGGCACGAGGAGGCTTGGACTTCCTGGATGCATCTGAATAGGAGAGGCAGGAGCTTGTGGTTTCTACCACCTTCCTTTAACCAGGCCAGGAACATAGGCAGGAAAGAGACTAAGTACTGGATTGGGGGGTTGCAGGGGCAATAGACCACTTGGCTCTGGGAGACAACAGGAGCCACTGGGAAAGTGGGAAGCTTACAAACCATGCCGGTCTCACACAACTTTCTACTAGCTGTTCCTGGGAGACCTGGCAGAGACAACCACAATGGAAAAAGTTGGAAATCCACAAGAGACTCACACCCAGGGACTGGCATCCAGAAACATCTCTTTTTGGTCATGCTGCAACTGTGTAACAAGCTCTGGTCAATGGCATAAATGACAGATATTACCTCCTTCCAGGGCCAGCTTGTCTGAGGAAAGAGCTTGATCCAAGGCCCATGTAAGTGTTCTGAGAGGGACTCTCTGAATGCCTTTTCTCTAACAAGTGGTCCCAACTCTGCCATCATCTTCCAGCATCTTACCCCTAGCATGTCTTATCCCCTGGAGCCTCTGTTGTGCCATGGTATTATGCAAACAAGCTTTCAGCATTTCATGAAGTGAGTCTTTCTGTCTTTCTGAAAACAAAATGATCCAGCTCTTGAATAAAGCTGGAGATGAAACTATTTGGACAGTTAGGGAAAGACACAAGACAATGGAAACTTAGATATTTAAAAATGCCCAATTTTCCATTCAGTTCATCCAGACATACAAGATCATTCTTCCTAAGGGGGTAGTTTGAAGAACATTTGTATCAGTTAGCTGGGCACTGATGGTTGGAAATACAGAATCCCAAGTCTTTCCCAGCCACGTAAATTGATCTCTGAGGAGCTGGTGCCAGATTCTGTATTTAAACCACCTCTCTTGGTGACACTTGGGGATAGGAAAGTTTAAGAACCAATGGCTTGGTTTAGATACATCAGGCTCTCAGAAAGGCAGTGAGAGCATATCGTGCCCCAGACCTCTCCCCTGTTGCTCCTGAGCCACTGATGGAAGCTGATCCAAGGGATTTCTGGCACCTGGTAAAATATCCTCACTAAAGTCAGGCAGATTAGTTTATCCTGCACTCAGGTTACATTCTAACAATGCACAGCCTTCAGCTTCTCTGGGGGTCCCATCACCACCAGGCAAAGACATCTAATCATGTAAAAGATGACAGTCAGGACATGTGTGTGGCCTCATTCTTTCTGTCTTCTCTTAGGAAGAAAGGCACATGAAAACGAAAAAGAATTTCACAAACGCAAGAGAGATTTATTGCTCAGGGTGACAGGAGCCTGAGCTGAGTCCTGGAAGAACATGCAGTTGGAATGAGATGACTCGTGTCATAAAGTCCCTCTTCCTCTGCCTGACCTGTAAGCAAATGTGGGCCAGCTCCTGGGGAGGTACCTGGAAGGTGAGCTGGCCACAAGTCCCACAAACCCATGGACCATGACATGTTCTCTTAGGGTCCCCAGGCTTTGAAATTTCCTTCTTCAAGAAAGGATCTAAGGAGTCAGATGTGCATATACCTGTAATCTCACCTATTCGGGAGGCTGAGGCAGGAGGATTGCAAGTTTGAGGCTGGCCTGGGTAATTCAGTAAGACTCTGACTCAAAATAAAAATTTAAAAGGGCTGGAGGTTAGCTCAGTGGTGGAGCATTTGCCCAGCATGCACAAGGTCCTAGGTTCCCTGGAACCCCTCCCCCGCAAAAGCTAGAAAAGTGGCAGAGTGATTATTAACAGTAAAGAACAATGAACTGAGCCCTCTGTGTGAATTTACAAGTCAGAAATCCCCTCTGCTACAAGTATTATTTTCAAGTTTCTTTAAATATTTTTCCCCTATCCAGTTATTCCCTCCATTTGGGCCTTAACTGTTAACCCTTACACTAGCTGAAGTCAAACAAGCACATACAGGCCCTTTAATTTAGATGACAAAAGCCTTGGTGTTTCTATGTGTTATACCTGAGAAAAACATATGACATTTGATAGATTAAATTCCCCAAATGAGGTAGATAATTCAATTGGGAATAATGAAGGCAGGGGGCAAACTTTAAAGACTGCTATAGATGAATATAGACATTTATCGAAAGGTAATTATAGCAGAGTTGATTAACACTGTTTTCTAATGCAGCAATTTTCTTCTCACTGCCCCTTAGGTTTTAATTCCTATGTCTAAATGATGATGAAAATATGCAATCTATCAGTTTGTCTGAGGGTTTTGTCTACATGATGCCAATATAACTGGTTTTATTGGGTTCTGAGCAGTTTTAGAGGTATAGTGAAAATTATGAAATGCATCTTTTACAATGTGTGGTATTGGGTAAAAGATCTTGCTTCTTAGCTAAAGAAGAGGTAAAGGGGATCTAGTTGCTACCAGGAGTACAATATGTTGTTTATATAGACCAAGCAGAGAGGGGATTTGCAGTTATTCCTCCAAACTGATACAGCTTGCATTTGACTGTCTGCTGTCCTCATTCACCGGGGACTTCTTTTATCCCATTTTAGGAGTATTTGTGTGAAAAGGGAGGATTCACATATTCAATTGTGCATGTTGGTTCCTGGTTGATTTCACCTCCAGTGGCACTTTTGGTGTTGGGATAATGGGTGGTAGACAGCTGCTTGTCACTAGGAAAGATCAACAAAAGCATCTGTTGTGATTTGAACTTAAGTGCCCAAATGAGCTCTGAACCAGAGCAATTTTGTTTCAGTAACACACAAAGTCATGCCTGGCAGTGATGTGCTGGGAGATGTTTAACTAACTCTCTGGGAGAAGGGCCTGATTAGTAGCATTTTCATGGTATAGAAACTTCCACCATGGCTAATTTAAAGCTACCGATGTGATGTCCCTGATCACAGGAGGGGGAGGAGCCATGCCCAGTTGACTCCTCAGAGGATTGGCTAGGGAGAGTTTGATCAGAGACCCAAGCCAGTGTCTTAATGGGATCCTTTGAAATGCCCAAGTTCTTTTTCTCTAATGAGCCAGATGCGAGCAGGTGTGAACATAGCTCTGCCAGCAGTGGGAAGATGTCACAGCCTCCTCAGATGCTACATCTGTCTTCGTTCTAGTCTCCATGGAAATTTTGAAATCTAATACCACTGGGCCTGGCTAAATTGCTTTCTAAATGAGGAGCTAAGAGTTAATAAGATAATATCTTCTCAAATGGGCAGACACTTCTCTACCTTTAGGTACTGGGGCTGCCTGGCAGTGAAAACCATCAGACTCTCCTAGTTGGTCCCTGGTAGATAGTGTCCTCCTCTCTCTACCTCCCAAACAAGGATAGCAGAGCTATAAGGAGAGAATGGGCCATCTGATTTTATGGCTCCCCATCCTTCCACCCTAGAGGAATCACTTAAAGAATTGAGAAATAATTGCTTTGAGCATTCACAAATCAGTTTAAAAATGGTGAATAATAACGTGATGGGTAGAAACCATGGACCACTCATCTTGTTTTTTCATGGAATCAAGAGTAGGTTGCTAATGGATTGATATGTGTATTATAATAGTCCATAAAAGTTTCACTATCTCACCATAGCACAGGGAGCTTTCTTCATAACCTTTCGCAGCCTTGCTTTCTATAAGATGGATGTACAGAGAGTAGGATATTGAGCCACCAGGATAATGGAACCCAGTGCCTGAAAATCAAGGCTAGATCCCAGCTCAGTTCATTACTTGCCTGTTCATTTTATAAGACTTGCTGGACAAGATGCATAAGACAAGGTAAAATTCTTCCTGCCAATTCAGGTCACATGGGGACAGAGAGATCCACCAGGCACCATCTTCCTGCTTTTACTTGGCTCTTACATTTATGACATGTAAATCACAAGAAAGTGAGTCGATGGTCAGACTGTGAAGAACATAATATGTGTATTACCCTGTCTATTGAAACCATTTTCATGCTAAGATTGTCTACACACACAAACATGAGTTCTCTTTTTGTGGGGGGAAGAGAGCAAAAGGTTATATCCAATTTGCCATTCCTGGGACAACTGGTGAGCAGCAACCAGATGGCCACTAATTGTTAAACATCTTCCCCTTAGGAGCAGAGCCCCAGGGTCTCAGCTGAGCACAATTTAATTAGTACTAGCTAGATAATATTTGGGTTAAACCAACCACACCTACCAAGTGGAAAAGAGTCATTATATCGGATCTGGGGCCACATGGCCACCATCAGTCTCACCTGTAGCATGACTAAAGTGTCCCATGGAGACCATTGCTTTTCTTCAGCATGGAGCCTCATGTCCAGTGGTTCAAGCAGGTGGATACCATCTTCCCCACTTGCCACCAGCACTGCATTCTTGGCAGGAACTGTGCTGTCATCTCTAGGGGAGCCACTGGTGAGTCTAGGAGCTCAAAGAAGCCTCTCAGAAAGAAAGGCCAGACCATAGCCCATGGCTATCCTTTGGTGATAAATAAGGGCAGTCCAACATCTGCCCTTGAGGAGCCAGGAAACATACCCCAGAGCCCCAAATCACTGGGCTTGCTGGGGGATGGTGGTGAGTGGTGTCCATCCAGGATTCCCTAGCCTGCCCCTACTTCTCCCCAGCCATCCCATTCTAAACTCTCCAGCAGGAACATGGTCCTTCACTCAGACACCGGCAGAATGTTCTGGCTGTGAGAGTCACCTGTGAGGCCTGAGGAGCGGATGGAGCGTCTGTGGAGGATCCTGTTCAGAATCTCTTTGCAGCTTTTTCGGTACTGATGTCGCAGCAGGGAGTACACAAAAGGGTCAGAGGCAGCCTTGCTGTAGGCCAAGCACTTGGACAGCACCCCCCAGTGGGAGCCAATGGGTGCCGAGGAGAAGAGCTCCACCAGTCTGCAGAGAGAGGGGGTGTTACTGAGAGCATCGCTGGCCAAGGCTCGTTCTACACCAGACCACAGCTTCCTGGCCATGTTCCACTCCCCAGAGACCATGTCTTCAGTTAACAATGAGGACAACAACAGCGGTGTAACCAAAGACAATGATGACAGAGAATATTAATCAGGCATTTAGGTTATTCTAAACACTGTGCTAGTTAACCATTTCATACATGTGACAGCACCGAACGAGGAGATATGACTATCCCCATTTTACATATGAGGAAATAGAGTTCCCAGGAGGTTAAATCATTTGTCCACAGTCACATGGCCAATCAATTGTAAAGGTAGAATTTGGACCCAGCTCTGTTTCACTCTGAGTCTCAAGCTTCACTAAGAAATGGACTAACAAGCTAATGGCATCCTGGCTTTGGCTCAGCTTTGCTTCTGATCTGCTGTGAGACTCTGGGGAAGTTTTGTCCTCCTTGAGCTTGCAGGTCTTATATAAAGAGCAGGGAGGTTGAACGATTGTCTCCATGATCTTTTCAACTAAAAGTCTGGATTGAGTCTACTCTAAACCTGGTTCTGCCTTCTTAAGGAGGCTGCATGGGAGGGAGGGCTGAGAATAATTTGGCAAACATTCTGCAAAGCTCAGAGCCTGTCCTGCAACAGGAATTAATCTTCTGTCAAGGAAGGGTTTCTTTACAGATTTAGGGTTCTTGTCAAGGCGACTGTCATTCAGTGAGAGAGAGCAAGAGAAGATACAGCCACAGGTCTGAGGGTATGGGTTCTTAGAGACCCCCTTGGTACTCACTGACCCTACCATTCCATGGTACTAATGCCAGGCTGGAGGGGTCACTAAGAGCCTCAAGCTGTATACACAGAATTTCCACACCCCAGTCAAGCCACTTTTCTTTCTCAAATGTTTCCAGTTTGCCTGACTTTTTGAACATTATCCAGCATTAGCACAAGGTATAAAAGAGCCACAGATCTGGGACAGAGATGCAGTTCATAAATCACCCTTTCTCCTACCCATCATAAAATGAGGAAATTGAGGCCCAGAGAGGGGAAAAGGGTGCCCAACATCACGGAGCAAGTGAGTAGCCATAGAAGATCCAGCACCTGTATACTCTTTTTTCTGCCTGGGGTACCTGTAAAATAGAGGCAGTGGTGACTCTCATCTTAGTAGGCTGTCCAGAGGAGGACTCAAGTAAAGGAAGAGCCAAGCTTGACTTGTGACCCTGCTGCCAGCTTCTGTTGATTTTTCTGAAGCCTCTAGGATAGGCTGCAGAGCCAGCAAAGGAGGAGGAAGCTAACGAGGTTCCACCCCCCAAGAAGATTCCTAAACAGAGTCCCAAGCAACCTGTTCTGAGTCTTCTCTCTCTCTGCCTTCCCATTTTTAGCAGCCATCTCTGCTCCTTCCCTTTGACCCTATGGAGACCTGCAGCTATGTCTTCTCTCATGTCCCTGGGACCCTGAATGAGAAACTGGAGCTGTTAGAATGTGGTACATATGTACTTTTAAGAAGTCTATTTTGAGCAATGATGAATTTACCGAGACCAAAAAATTTAGAACTCACACCTAATAATTATAATGAAATACCTGAATGCCAACACACTGTAGCTATGTGATGTCAAACCACATTTCCAAAACGTAAGTCATCTATGTATTGCTAAATTCATTCTAAGCATTATGGCTCTCCCAAAAGAATTCCTCAAAAGAGCCAAATATTATCAAACCATCTATCAAGGTCAAAATTATGACTTGATGGTTTTCTAGATTTCACAGAATAAAATTATTCAGGACAATTTAAAATTTTACTATTTAGAAAATGAAGGGTAAAATCTATTGTATTTGCTTCTCTAAGAGATTTTATGTGAAGCCTAAACTCACCACCAGCTCCATAATAATAGTCCTAGTTAGTGTCTTCTTTGAGCCAACCACTTGATGAACATAATCTCTAATCTTAAAATTATCCTGCAGAGTGAATGTCATTATTCCCATTTTACAGATGAGGAGACCAAGGCTTGCAGCAGTTGAGCAGCAAGCTAGGGTTTCCTGTATGGAAAATGTAGCTCCGTCTGCCTCCAGTCCAAGCCCTGGCTAAACACCACACTGAGATCCGAATCTTAGCATTGCATGGAAGGGATGGGCTGCAAATTCCCTTCAGTGCCAAGGACCACTTTCCATGAGGTCATTACATGCTCCACAGAATTTTTATCTCTTGCCTTCCCCACAGTGCACATGGCAACTTCTGCTTTAAAAAGCCAGGATCTGGCTTTTGTTAGGTCCCCAGGCAAAGAGAAGCTTGGGATAATACAGTCCTGGTTGGTAGAGTTTGGCTCTACCTGGCCTCAAGTCAGGGGAATGCTGGGCCGGCTCCTTCTGTGTTCAGATGTGGTTTGCTGAGCCCCCTTCTGCTTTCCCTATGCACATGGACACCCTGTGCCTGCCTAGCTGGCTTTGCTCTATCTTGGCTGACAGTTTCAAGTCTCCATTCATTTACAGGGTCTGAGAACAGGCGAGGATTTCCATATTTCTAATTCCAGGTGTAGGCAGGCATTTGGATGACCACAAAGTCCCTTCTTGATGAACTTTTAGAAAGGGAAGGCTTCAGCCCATCTTCTCATGCCAAGTTCAGCTCTGGTTACCCCTTCCTAGGACCCTCCCTTCTGAGATAGAGGCATTAGAGTTCAGATTAGCCACATTCCATGACTAGGCAGAGCCACTGCCACTCTATATCTTTCTTTCTCCTTCACTCCACAAGGGTGGTTTATTTCATCTGCTTCCTGCTCCTACCTGCAGCACAGGTAGATTTGCCAAAGCAGTAACAGCCCCAGGAATAGAGAACACTTCTCCCTTGTCCTCCAGAAAGCAGGACTGGTCCCCAAAAGCATCTCTCCTGCCAGCTGCCCTGACCTTCCATTAAGCACCAAGGTGACTCTCCATGTATTCCCTGAGGTATGGACTAGAAAAACTTATCTGCCATCAGGTTCCATTTTAAGGGAAAATGCTTATGCATGCATAGTCAAAATGTATGCATATCTGCCCTGGCAAGCTGTCCCAGCACTTGCCCTGAATGCCCTCAGGAAAGAGTCCATACTTAGCAGGCCAGGAGAGAGGAGGACATGGGGGAGGGAGAGGGGTCTGCTTTTCCAAGCATTTCAGGTAACTCTGATGTGAAAGCATCAGCCCTTTATGGAAGAAGACGGGAAGTGCCCAGGGGAGTGTGTGTGTGGTGCAATTCATTCCGCATGTGTACATGCTCCTGTGTGTTGTGAAATAGAAAGCACTGGAGGGTACAGAGCTTGTTGACCTAGAGAGGGACACAGAGGAGTATACCCTTCTGAGTCCAGTGAGACACAAAGCAGAAAGTCACAGATTACGCCCCCCAAATCCTATGCATCTGCCCACCTCTGAAGCCTTCTGCTCTGGTGTGTATCCAGGGGATTTCTCTTTGAGCCATGGCTTCTTTTTGGGAAGCAACCCCCTCCCACCCCCTTTGCTGCTCACTGGCAACTCTTGGATCTGGTTATCATAGCAGAGGGCCAACCAAAGAAGATAGGAAGCTGTAGTTCCCTGAATGAGGGTGTGGTAGCACTTGCCTGAGCTGAGGCATTCTGTGAGCCTCAGCATTGCTCCACCATGGAATACCTAAGGAAGGGAATTCCTGGCTGGACCTGCAGTCCCCACCAACTCCTCTGGAGTTGGTCCTAGGCTCAGTGCCTCAGTAACTGCTTCATAACATCATCTCTAGCCTCCAAAAGCATTCTTCCTATTGTACACAGACAAAACCAAGGCAGTGATGCATCAAAGCCATGTGGCCCAGACAGAAGAACCAGAATTTGAACCCTGTGGATGCAGCAACCATGTGCCTTCTTGGAGCCAGCCTGCCTGCCCAAAGGCCTTTTGGACTCAACTTCTGGCTCCAGTCAAGTACCTTTGCTTTCAAACATTACATTTAAAGTGGTAAATTACAGTCCTCTCTCATCCCTCCTGTGCCTATCATCCCTCCTCTCTCCCTCCCTCTCTGTTTCTGCCTTCCTCTCTGTTTTTGTCTGTCTAGCTGACTTTTTGTCTTTGACTCTACTTCCTTTCTCCCTCTCCATTTCTGTTTTTCTGTATATCTTTGACTCTGCTTCTGCCTCTGTCTCTCTTTCACTGTCTCTCTGTTTGTCTGTCTGTCTGTCTCTCTGTCATACACACACACACACACACACACACACACACACACAGTGTGTATAGAATGGAATGTGGGCCAAAGAGCATTCCTTGGAAAGCCAGCCCCTGATCTTCCTAAGACTTCTTGAGAACTTTTATTTGAAGATCTGCAGGCCATAAGCTGATACTTTAACTTTTCATGAGACATTACAGTGGAAAAATCATTTTATTAATAGAATATTAACATGTAGAACTACTTGCATATTAAACTCCTCTCTCATCTACATGATTCCATTATTTTGAAAAGCTACAATAATGGATCTGTCAGATCCCCAAATGCCTCAAAGGCTGATTCCTGTTATTGAGGACAACTGTAATTATTTGTAAGCATATATTGCTGCAGATGATAGCCTTCCAACTGCTTCTAGGCTTGTGAACTTTAATTCAGAAAATACTTAGCAAGAACTGCTGGATGAGGCTGTGGGTCTGCAGGCCCTGCCCTGCTGGTTCAGGAAAAGTCAAGTTTCTGAGGCCACTGGAGCTGGTGTGACTGTGGACTGGAGGTGTCAGACTCCTGTTAAGAGTGAAGATGGAGATTTGCAAATGTTTTCTTCTGTTGTCTTCCATGACCCCGTGCCATGGTGCAAGTGGCTTTTTGGTTGGGAAGGTGGATGATTATCTTTCTGAAAGCTGTTTGCTGCATGGGTCATGCCACCCATGTCCACATCATGCTGACAGCTCTGCACAGGTGATCTTATTCCTCATCACAGGCTAATTTCTCCTGGTAATCAGTGGGCATTTTTCAATCTTAACCAGGAGGAAGATAGGAGAGTTGGAACCAGGTCCCCTGGAGGTGGATGTCTGATTAAAGTCTTCCAGGCCCCCACCAGCCTAGCGGTCGGATGCCCTGGCAGTGGAAGTAGCTCTGATGAAGTCCTGGCTGCAGCCCACACCTGGAGCCCAGAGGGAACCTGACGTGTAAGAGCACATTTATGGGTACCCCCTCCCTGGACTATGCCTGTGGTTCCCAGATATCCTGAAGACTAAGCATCCTTATCTCTTCAATCACAGACTGGGTGTGGGGTGGAGGTACTACTGGCAAGAGGAGGTTGTTCTAAGAGAGGGGTAATTTCGGGAGGACTTCCTGGAAGAATCTAACTACCCTCTACTCCCCTCTCTCTGCAGCCCTATCTTGGTAGCTGATGCCCCTTCTATTTGGGCCCTCCTACCCCCAGGAGGAAAGCACTGATTTTCCAGGTAACTCCAACATTGCACTGGACACTGGACAAGGAGCAGAGAGTGGAGGAGGTTCTGAGCACCCTCTTAGACTGGCTGGAATGGGTCTCAGTTGGCTCCTGGTCCCTGAAGAGTCATATGAGTGGCTAGAAGTCTAGAAAGAGGGACTAGGGACAGGGCACCAGCACCCTTCAGCCACATATTATCCATCCCTGCAGAAGCAACAGTGCGAAGAATCAAGGCACAGGTGTGATGTAGCATTTTCTAGTAATGAAAATCAGTTTTAATTATATATTCAGCTTTTTATCATTTACTATGATTTATCATTTCACAACGGAATCAATATAAAAATTATTAATTACATGTATTTTTGTCCTTTAAATCTTTGAAATCCAGTGAATTTTTAACCCTAAAGCAGCCCATTTCAGTTTGGACAGGCCATCTTTCAAGTGCTCTGTAGCCTCCATGGAAGGTGGTTCCCATGCTGGATGACAAAGTTCTAGATCTTGTTCCTTCTGTCCCTTCTGCTTGGATTGTCCATACACACACACATACATATACACACACGGTCAGGCCCACTTCACAAGCCATATTCATGAAGCCCAGCCAGAGGAGCTCTATCTTGCCTCAGAACCCAGGACCTTGAACCTGCCCAATGACATCATGCTCCAGCTGAGTTACAGGCTGTGTCCACAAGGGCAGTGTCCCCATCAGGGGCCCTCCTTGGGTCTCACCAACTGATGCCTCATCTGCAGAGGAGCTTTCATGGTGTCCACAGAGAAGGTACTGGAGCAGTGTGTGCTGAAATGACATGAGGTGCGTTTACAGAGACTTAGAAGGCTTTAGGTTTGCTTAGGATGGCTCCTTCCTGCACAGGAGAAGCCCACATAGGAGCATGGGATGGTGGCAGTAGGGCTGGAGTGTCTTCAGCAGAGCTCCTACTCTGTATTCATGAGGCTTCCTGGGTGTACCCTTTCTCCCTAGTAAGTTGCTGCTCATCTCCATAAAGGGTGAACAGTTTTGTGAATGTTTTTAAAAACTCAAAATGCATCAAATCTGTTTGGAGGGAACATATTGAATCTATAATCTATTTTACTAAAACATTATTTCCTAGCCATTATTAGAGGGAACTAAGCTAAAATCAGAAAAAAAGGAAAAATTTTCTAGGAAATGAGATTAACCCACATTACCTGTTCTCTTCTGAGGATTCGCATTCCCTTCATTAGCCCATGGCTTCCTTTACTCTAGGGTTCAAGAGGAGAGGCCTCTGTATGTCCTCTCTTTTTGACAAACCTTCCTTTGTCAGAACGAATCCCCTTCAGTCCTGGGTAGGTACCCTGGGTGCAGCTGTATCAGAGATGCTGGGTGATGACCAGAAGTGTCATCCACCCCATGCCTGCGCTACATGCCACTGCTCTGTGTCCTAAGGACACTGGTCCAAGGCCACAGTGGAGGGCTGGCCCAGAGAGGCACATGGCACAGCCGGGCTGCTAACCACTTGGCTACATCTGACTTGGAGAGCAATCAGACCATTTTCTGTCACTGTGCAAGGTCCTGGTGTCCTGTGAAGACCCTAATGAGTGCAAGCTCTGGCTTCCTAGCTGGAGGTTATGGATCTAGACCAGTGGGGGTTTTTTTAGACCAGTGGTTTTTAACCAGAGGTGATTCTGGTCCCCAGAGGACATCTGGCAATATCTGGAGACATTTTTAGTTATCAAATCTGGGGTGCTGAGGAAGAAGAAAGGTGCTCTGAGCACCCAGTGGGTGGAGCCAGGGAGGCTGTAAATGTCCTGTGATGCTTGGGGCATCCTCTCAGCAAAGAGCCACCTGTGCACAAAATGTCAACAGTGTTGAGGCCTAGTGGTGAGTTTTGATGGAAGAATAGATGGCTCTGCTCTGGCCTGGTCAGACCTGGCCATAGACCGGCAGACAGTCCTAGGTATGGTGTGTTCAAAGTTAGATGCAGGCCCACTAGGTCTGCCCAGGAGGAGCAGCATGCCACAGGAGAGATGGGAAGGCAGTGGAGCTGTGATGGCCAAGGAAAAGAAGAGGGGACTGGCCAAAGGGTCACGCCTGGACATCTACAGTGATCGGTCCTCACATCTGCAGCGATGCACATCTGCAGTCATCTGGGTAGCAGAGGACATTGTTCTGGGCTGCAGAAGACAGAGTTGGGGGTGGTAGGCTGAAGCTTCAGTGAACCAGGCTTCAGTTCAGTGTAGACAAATAAGGAAAGTAAGAAGACTGTCCACAGCGGGCCCCTCCCTGCCAGGGCAAGCATGGTACTGGAGAGCAGGGAGGCAGGGAGTGTCCTTCTCGGCCCCTGCGCCTGAGGTTGCTGGTGATGCCCAGATGCTCAGCTGTGTGTGTGTGTGTGTGTGTGTGTGTGTGTGTGTGTG